AAAGAGGTCACCCCTGAGCCTTCTTTTCTCCAGGATGAACAGCCCCAGCTCCATTGAGCACCACGCTCTGGGTGTGACCTTCAAGCTAACTCTTTATCCAATGAATGGTACAGCCCAACAAATACATATCTCTCCAATTTGGAGACAAGGATGTCATGTGGGACAGTGTCAATGGTCTTACAGAAGTCCAAGTAGATGACATAGGTCGGTCTTCTCTTGTTGTCTGATGTGGTCACTCCATTGTAGAAAGCCACCAGATTAGTCAGGCTTGATTTACCCTTTGGTGAAGCCATGCTGGCTGTCTGAGATCACCTCTTTGTCTTGCATGGGCCTTGACATCGATTCCAGGAGGATCTTTTCCATGATCTTTTCAGACACAGAGGTGGGGCTCACCATTCGGTAGTTCCATGGGTTCTCATTTCTACCCTTTTTAAAAATGGGAGTGATGTTTCCTTTTTCCAGTCACCAGAGACTTTACCTGACTGACAGGACTGTTCAAATATGATGGAGAAAGGCTTGGAAACTACATCAGGCAGTTCCCTCCGGACCCTGGGATGCATGTCATCAGGCCCAATAGACTTGTATTTGTTGAGTTTCTTCAGGTGGTCTCAAACCTACTCTTCACTTACAGTAGGCGGGACATTGCACCCCCAGCCTCCATCTATGAGTTCAGGGAATGAAAGACTTGGGAAGCCTGACTGGCAGGGAAGACTGAAGAAAAGATGTTGTTGAGTCCCTCAGCCTTCTGCATGTCTGTCATTATCAGTTTACCCTTCTCATCCATCAGAAGAGGGTACACTCTCTTTGGCCTTTCTTTTCTGAGCGATGTATCTACAGAATCTCGTCCTGTTATTGTTTTCATCCCCTGCTAAGCTCGGTTCCATTCATGCCTTGGCTTTCCTTATCATATGCCTCCACATCTGAAACTCAAACTTGTGAGAGGGCCTGGGAAAAGTAACCCTGGATCCACAGAAGCCACTTGAGAAACAAATCCTGTAGGTAGGAAGTGTGATTTTGTGGAGGTGCAGAGCTGATGGACACATTGTACAGGATTCTCCTAAAGATCTTTGTGTCCTTTTCCCTCCTGACTACAATGCTACTTCCTTCTCAGGAATGGAGGAGGCAACAGAGGTGAGACAGATACTCTGCGATCGTGAATGTCGTCAGAAAGCTGATCCCAACAAGATACGGGGAGGTCAAGAGCAGCCTGGACAAGAGACATGTGAGATTATGGGGTGGGAAGAACAGCATGGCCAGCAGAAATTAATGATTTCATAGAGACAAGAGGATTCCTGCAATGCTAATACTGCGGTAACACTGACTTAAAACAGTCACATATGGCCCTTAATTATTTGAACCAGTAATTTTAATCCCTAAACCTTAATGCTACTACAACACTCTGAAAGGAATAAATTTTCTCTATTAATAACTGTTATCCCTTCACTTGACACTAACAATAACATGCTCTATTTAACCCTAGACTCCTTGGCAGAGGTAAAACACCCGTAAACCACAGAGCTTCTCCATACCTCAACCACAGACGTGACAGCACAAGCAGAACACCAAACAATCCCACTAAAACTTTGCTTAATCTCTAACCCAGAAAGTGAAAAAGAGATACTGAGGGGGCTAGAGAAAGCTCAGCTCTGCCTCAGGATCTCCTGTCCCAGCAGCAGGAATGTGACTGTGGCAGTGACTGTGAGGTCACTTCTGTCTCTGCACTTGATAGGGCAGCAGCAGGAACGTGTCACAGAAAGGGACTGGGAGGTCATTTGTGTCTGGAGGTGGCAGGTCACCCTTGCCTTCTCCCTGGGAGCTGCACTTTTGGGCTGACATCTGGCAGTGGCCCTGCTAGGCCAGCAGAAGGCACCTGCTTGGCATGCTGACTGGGGGATCCCCTCTGCCTCCAGAGCCAGGAGGACCCAGACACAAAGAAGGCCCCCAGATGGGTTGTCCTGTCCCTTCTGCTTGAGTCCATGACTGCACAGCAGCAGGCACAAGGCTTGGCTGTGTCTAGCCAAGAAGCTGCAAGGGCAGCAGCAGGCCCCTGGCTTGGAAGATGCTTCTGAGGTGACTTGTGTCTGGTTGGCTGAGAGGCCCCAAGGAGCCTGCTGGGTTGGGATGCCTACTTCAGGAGGGGTTTCCACCCTGATGGAGCTTCCTTTGTTAGTAGGAAAGAGCAGGAGAGAAAAAACTGCCACAAATTGTGCAATGGAAGGATGGCACTGGCCATGAGGAGGAAGAAACGTCCAGGGGAACAACTGGTTTTGTTGCTAGTAACAGAGGCAAAGAAGGCATTAAGTGTCTCAGCCTTTACAGCATCCCTTGTCACTGGGTTTTCCCCCCAAAATCCAATAAAGGATTATGATTCTCCCTAATCCTCCTTCATTTAAACTATTAATGTCATTTTTATTTTATTTAATTTTTATTTAATTTTATTTTATTTTATTTTATTTTATTTTATTTTATTTTATTTTATTTTATTTTATTTTATTTTATTTTATTTTATTTTATTTTATTTTATTTTATTTTATTTTTTATTTTTTATTTTTTTATTTATTTTTTTTTAATTATCTTTGACAGTAATAGATGGATTGAGGTCCAGCTGGGCTTTGGCCCTTCTAATTTTGACCTGCACAGCCCCATAAAATTCAGGACACAGCTCCAGACAAACTGACAGCATGCATGAGAAGAAAGCTCAGCGAATGTGGAACCTGGCAGCCTTCCTTCCCCTGCCCTTGAGTGACTGTGCTGCAATTCCATTTAGCTGGTTACTCCTGAATTATCCAAATTTCCCTGCAACTCTTGCTGCTGCTGCTGTCTAGTCAGAGATAACACAATCACAGGAAGGTTGAACGGTCTGCCTGCTGACATTAACAGCTGATAGAATGGAGCATCACTGTGGGTGAACCTTGAGAATCTGCAGGATTGTGACTTCAGAAAACTCTTGACTTTAACATGGAGAAGAGCCCAGTACTGCACCAGAAGAAGAGGAACCCCACACATCAGGGCAGACTGGGACCCTGCTGAGTGAGTAGTGGCCAGGAGGAGGAGGCCCCGGGCACCACGAGGGATGCCATACGAGCAGTGGTGCCTGCTCACCAGGAACCAGGCCAGCTTCCTACAGAGCTGCCTTACGAGGAGCATGGCCACCAAGAAGATCTGAGTTATCAGACTCAGCTCAGATCTGCTGTGACACCACGCGGACAATGTCTGCAGCCAGCAGTGAACAATGTGCAGTTATGGGAGTCCTTTTAAGAGCCAGGTTTAGAAAGAATAGGGGTCTGTGGAAAAGTTGAAAGTCCCAACAGGACCCAGGTCTTTGTGTCCATGGCTATGGCTGTTTTCTCTGTCACTGAGGCCTTTGAGGAGACAGCTGATCGTTAAAGCACCAGGGCCTCATTGCCTCCTTGCCCCCACCCATGAACCAGGCAGGGGTCGTACCATTCTCCTGCACTTGGCCATGCAAATCCCCATATTCCAGTGTCCCAGGAAGAGCCCTGAGCAAGGTGTGGAGGGAAAGGATCGCCCTTCCTTGAGTAGGGAGTCCAGGCCTGGCCCTTGTGCTTGGTGACACACATCCAGTTTTCCTACACATCAGTGTCACCTTCACATTGCCTTTGTCTCCTTGTCCTCACTGCCTCCAGGGTTCTGCTCTAACAAGCTCCAAGGGAGGCTGTGTCAGTGCTGGCCCTCAGGGGGACACTGCAGGAAACTTGCCTCTGACTTGCACTTCTGGAGAGATGTCTTCAATTGTCTCTGAGTGCCTGAGATTCGTGGGCTCATCAGCCAAGCCCCCAGAGGGTTGATTGCAGTGCCTTGGGCTGGTGCTGTGCTGCTGAGTTGGGCCAGGCTCGTGGGACAGAGAAAACATTTCAGAAAGTCCCATGAAGCAGAGATAGCGCTGTGCCCAGGAGCAGCTCCTCTGCACAGAGCAGCAGGGCTGGGGGCTCTGACTGCAGCTGGCAAGGGGAGAGGAGAGAAGGAGAGAGGGCTTGGAGGCAGTGGGAGGATGCTGAGAGCTGCCTGCAGGAGAAATGTGCACAGCCCTTGACAAGGTAAGGGTCTGGCCTCAGGGCCATGCAGCTGCAGGTCCTGGAAGGGTCTCCTGCTGGGTCTTGTTTCTGGGAAGGCAGTGGGCGATGCAGTAGGCTTTGAGAGTCCTGATGGGTTGCAGTGCGAGGTGAGGAAGTCTGGCAGAAGCCCCATGGAGTGTCATAACCAAGCTGCCCTTTTTAGCCATGAGCTGGGTGTCTAAGTCTCCTTCAGACACTGCAGGGGATGCAGATTAGATATTGGTGCACCACAGATTACTAATATTCAGCTCTGTCCGTGGGGCATTGTCCTGGGCTGCACGCTTCTCTCCCGCAGGTTGCAGCTCTCTGCTGGCATCCTTGTGTTATCCAGATACCTCAAGGAGAAGACACCTCTGTATAAAACCATGTCTGTGCTGCTGGATGGCTGTCTGTGGGCAGCTGGAATGAGGCCTCTGCAGCCTTTGCGAAGAGGGAAAAGCTGAGATCCTGCTCATGCACCTGGAGATAAGGTGCGGATTCTGTCCATTTGCACTGGGGTTGGGGCTTCTTTGCTTTAAGCTGTCTCCACTTCTTTGGAAACACAAGAGTGTGATTGTTCTACTATGCATAAGAAAATCTGACTTGCTCTACAGTGTGGTTGGAGGTGTTCTTTGCAACAACCCTGCAAAGTTCATGGATCTCGTAAGTGGACTAAACTTGAGTTTCCCCCTTGTTCCTGCTTTCTGACTGCTACACAGAAGGAAGGACACCTCTAAAGTCCCCAGAAATCCATGCTTTCAGTGGCAGTCTCACCCAGCATCAGCTGTGACTCAAGGGATAGAGCTGCAGAAAGCTCCTTTTGCAAAGAGAGAGGCTTCAGATGAGAGTGCTCTAAGGCTTGCAGTAGGTTTTCCTCAGAGAATTGTCTTCTAAACTTTTTCTGCCTTCTCCTTCTCTACAGACAACAGTGTTCAATGTCAGAAAATGCCCAACGTCAGCTCTGTGAGCGAGTTCCTCCTGCTGGCATTCGCAGACACACGTGAGCTGCAGCTCCTGCACTTCGTGCTCTTCCTGGGCATCTACCTGGCTGCCCTCCTGGGCAACGGCCTCATCCTCAGTGCCGTAGCCTGCGACCACCGCCTCCACACCCCCATGTACTTCTTCCTCCTCAACCTCGCCCTCCTCGACCTGGGCTGCATCTCCACCACTCTGCCCAAAGCCATGGCCAATGCCCTCTGGGGCACCAGGGCCATCTCCTATCAAGGATGTGCTGCTCAGGTCTTTCTCTTTGTCTTCTTTATCACAGCAGAGTATTGCATTCTCACCGTCATGGCCTATGACCGCTATGTTGCCATCTGCAAGCCCCTGCACTACGGGAGCCTCCTGGGCAGCAGAGCTTGTGCCCAGATGGCAGCAGCTGCCTGGGGCAGTGGCTTTCTCAATGCTGCCCTGCACACGGCCAGCACATTTTCCCTGCCCCTCTGCCAAGGCAATGCTGTGGACCAGTTCTTCTGTGAAATCCCCCACATCCTCAAGCTCTCCTGCTCACATGCCTACCTCAGGGAAGTTGGATTTATTGCATTTAGCTTTTGTTTAGTTGTTGGTTGCTTTGTTTTTATTGTGGTGTCCTATGTGCAGATCTTCAGGGCAGTGCTGAGGATGCCCTCTGAGCAGGGCCGGCACAAAGCCTTTTCCACGTGCCTCCCTCACCTGGCCGTGGTCTCTCTGTTTATCAGCACTATCATGTTTGCCTACCTGAAGCCCCCCTCCATCTCCTCCCCATACCTGGACCTTGCAGTATCTTTTCTCTACTCCATGTTCCCTCCAGCAGTGAACCCCCTCATTTACAGCATGAGGAACCAGGAGCTCAAGGATGCACTGAGGAAATACATATTTCTTAAGAAACTATAATGTTTCTTTACATTCTGAGTTTATCTCAGAAACAGGAAAGTAATTTGGTATTATTTTTCTTGATAAATATGTTCTCCAAGTTTGTGGAGTCGATTTAATTCATGTCATTGTTAGCCTCCTACCTGTTCATTTATCTCTTTACTTTTCCTAATCATCTCATGTATATGTGAAGCCAGGTTTTCTGTGTACCTATAGACAATAAAGAAGCGAGCAGAAATTCATAGGTCTCAGCTGCAGTGTATTTCCATCACCTGTGAACTAGCAAAGAAGCTATTTAAAAAAAAAAAAAAAAAAAAAAAAAAAAAGCTATTTGTGACCGTGATGCTTGACCACTTCCTGAAACAGGGCCTCAATAGACACAGCTGATTTTCAGGAGGACAAACGTTTTCATAACGGGAGCCCACCTCTCCCCTCTCCTTCCATTTTCCACCTTTTATTGCTGAGTGTGACATCATATGGTATGGAATATCTCTGTGGCTGGTTTAGGTAAGCTGCTCTGGTGATGTCCCCTCCCTGTCTCTTGCACACCCGCAGCCTGATGGCTTTTTGGGGAGGGGGGATTAGAGGGATTCCTGATGCTATGACAGTACTGCTCAGCAGAAGACAAAACACAACCGTGATACCAGTGCTGTTCTAGCTACTCAAGCAGAGCACAGCACTGTGTGGGCTTCTACAGGAAAAGTTAACTCCATCCCAGCCAGACCCAGTACAGTCACATTGAAAACACAGCACCACAGGGGCTGCTCTGCAGAGACTAAATCCGTCCCAGACAGAGCCAGTGCAGGGCCACACACTGGACAAGAAGGCTCCCTCTGAGCTCTGTGGGGAGTCAGGAAGGTCCTAATAAGCAGGACGACTGAGGAAGCCCAAGGCCCTTCTGAACGTTGTCTTAGTCCCACCTGGGGGGCAGTGCTGGGCAGTGGGAAGTGCTATGAGAAAGACCTGTGAGAAGGCTGTGAGAAACAAGGAAATATCACTGCCATTGACCCAGGCCTGCAAAAAATCACTCACTGGCCTCCTCTGTCAGGCCAGCGTGAGCCCAGGAGACAGCAGTGAATGGAGCCCACAGAGCGTGAGCCTGTCTGAGGTGGACTGAGCAGAGCTCAAGTGCTCAATCTGGTGTGAGCAGGCATAAGGGAATTCTGCAGCCCCAGGGCACGCAGCAGCCCCAGCAAAGGAGCCTGGCGAGTGATTCCTTGCAGCCCTGGGGCAATGGCAGTGGCCCCATGAGCTGGGTCTGCCTCCCAGCCTGCACAGCACTGCCCGGCAGAGTGCCCCCATGCCCCAGGCACCACAGCCCACTAGCTCTGCAGAGCAGCACCTCTGGTTGCCATGTCAGAGATCTCAGCTTTTGACTAAACTCATACCTCATAGCTGTTTTTAGTTTTCTCCATAGGGGAATCTACTGCCTTTCAGATTCTTGAAGGGAGGTAAATCCTGCACGAAGGCCTGCAAAATGTTACCCTGGATCCATAGGAATCATTCTGGAACCAACACTTGTTTATAGGATGTACACTTTTGTGAAGGCGCAGAGCTGATGGGCAGGTGCAGGATGCTCCTACAGAACTTTGTGCCCTTTTCCCTACTGACTACAACACCACTTCTGTCTCAGGAACAGAGTAGCCGGCAGAGTGAGACAGATACTCTGAGACCATGAAAGCCATCAGAAAGCTGATCCCAATAAGAAAACCAATATGAGGATGACAGGAGAAGCCTGGCCACCAGAGAAGTGAGATTTGGGGGAGGGAAGAGGAGCTTGGGAAGCATGTGGGTAGTTAGGGTCTGGCGGCCGGAAGATGTCGCGCTGTACGGAAAGGTGGAGCCCCTCCCTTGATGGACAGTAGTGTGTGGCCTGTGCTGTAAGCAAGCGGAAGTGATGCTATGGGCCTCGGGTATATAACCCCATGTGACTCGACAATAAACGCCATTTGCCATCCACCACATTGGTGTCTGTGAGCCGATGGACCGAGCGGCCTTGGGTTGGTCGCCGTGCCGTTCCTGAACCAGGTTACCACTGCCCCCTGAAGGCAACAAGTGGTGCCGAAACCCGGGAAAGCTCCTGGATTCGGGTGAACGGCGGCCGGAGCGGCGGGACCAGCCCATCGGGGAGGAAGCTCCCGGACCAACAAGGAAGATGGAAACCCTTGTGAAGGTTGTATCAAAGTTGTGGAAGCTATGGGGTGGCTCGGCTGAGGAAGCCAGGGGTGCCGGTGGGGAACCAGAGCCTGGGGAAATCTGGGAGAGACCACGGCCACGTGCGCCCCAGTACGGTGCCGAACTAGAAGACGAAGAGTTGGGTGAAGAAGCCTCCGGCGGGAACGGGAATGAAGTGTTAGGTTTTACTAACATGTGCAAATGGGAGAAAGAGAATGGTTGCGGGGACGACCGGGGAGGAGGTAGAAGCGTGAGAGAGGGGCAGAGAGCCGATCGGAATGGCCATCCAAGAAAACGCTCCTGTGGCGCAGACGCCTCGCTGAGAAGGCGGCGGGGCGAGCCACGAGGCAGAGAGCGGCCCCCCTGCAGGGGTGGGGGGCAGGGCCAGGACTCGACGGGAGGGTACCGGAACTCGGAGGTGAGCAGTCAGTCAAGCTCTGACTCCGGATCAGATACCGATTCAAATTCGGAGGAGGAAATGGGGACAGATAGCAAAAATATCCCCATCCGAAATAAAGCTGCACCGCAAGGCAGAGAAATTCCTCTCACAGATTGGAGGAAAATTAAGATTGCGTGCACCATCTTGGCTCTATCGGCCATGCTAGCGTTCCTGGTCTGGGTGACAGACAGGGGACAGAGGGTTCACTCACCAACAAACCCTAAGGATGTACAAGCGATTGTTAAAGCCATTGTGGATAAAGGGCTTCATTCTGCAATGGTCTCCACCCTCATAGATGGTGTTTTCAGGGGAGACGACATGCTCCCGTTTGATATAAAACAAACTTGTAGACTGATCTTTGACGGGGGTGGGATGATCATTTTTAAACGAGAATGGGGGGACAACTGTATGAGACAACTGGCCCAAGTAACTGGGACGGATCACACACTGTATGGCTCTAGCCTGCAGCGGCTAATGGGTACGAACCCAACAGTGATCACCCCCCAGGTGCAAGTCCAGGGCCTGAGGGCCCACGAAGGTATGGCAACTCGTGCGGCCAGAGAAGCTCCAAACAGCCGACGCCCCAACTTCAGAACAAAACTAATGAAAACTGAGTTTCTGTTCACAGGAACGGATCATCGGACACCCCCGTAATCTGTATACCCCGGCGACATGAGAAGACAATAAGTCAGCAAGCGTCCTGTCTAAGCCTGAGAATTCCACACTGGCAGAATCCAGACACCAGCGAAGCGGCCTCCGTGGGTGGGGGGATGCAATGCCTTTGTGCGATCTTATCTTTGGACCTTGTATACTAAATAAGCTTGTGTTGTTTGTTAAAAGTTGGTTACAGAAAGTTAACATTACGTTGGTAGAACACCAACAACTACTTTAAGAGTGTATTTACTCAGGGTTACCAGTTACCTCCTAGTTTTCTCCTGGTTATTGTGCCTTATGTTTTTTATTTCAGTTATGATGTCTATGTCTTAAGATTGTTATATTTCAGCTAATTTAGTTGTGCATAGGGAGGGGGGAAATGTGGGTAGTTAGGGTCTGGCGGCCGGAAGATGTCGCGCTGTACGGAAAGGTGGAGTCCCTCCCTTGATGGACAGTAGCGTGTGGCCTGTGATGTAAGCAAGCGGAAGTGACGCTATGGGCCTCGGGTATATAACACCATGTGACTTGACAATAAACACCATTTGCCATCCACCACATTGGTGTCTGTGAGCCGATGGACCGAGCGGCCTGGGGTTGGTCGCCGTGCCGTTCCTGAACCAGGTCACCACTGCCCCCTGAAGGCAACAGAAGCAGAAATTAACGATTTTGTAGAGGTAAGAGGTTTCATGTAATATTGATGGTGCTTTAAAACTGGCTTAAAACAGTCATGTAAAACCCTTACCCTATTTTGACCAGTAACCCTAATCCCAAAACCTGAATGTTGCTTCAACACCTTGAAAGAAATCCACTGCTGTAATACCTGACCTCAGAGTATCCTTTCATCCCGAGTTTTCTACAGAAGACCCAAGAGAGACCATGGATGACCAGGTACCTACTAATATTTAATCTGAATTTCTCTGGTTTCAATTGTCATTTTATTTTATTTTATTTTATTTTATTTTAATTTATTTTATTTTATTTTATTTTATTTTATTTTATTTTATTTTATTTTATTTTATTTTCCCCCCCCCAAAAAAAACCATGTGACTTGTTTTAGAAAGGATTTCATGTGCAGGGCTGGGCTGCAGTTACAGGGACAAAGACCACTGCTGGCAGTGGAGGTGTCAGACCACCAGACTCTGCTATTCCTCCCTATGGAGGTCTCCAAAGAAATCACCCTGGATCAATAGCAATACGAGAATGATGCTCAAAACTGAAATGCAGCAAAAATCAGCCTTTGAAAGTACAAAAGATTTTTTATTAGGTGCTTTTTGAAATCTTCTTTGACTACATCATGCACGCTCTGTAATTAGCTACACAAGGCATGAAGCCTTGAAGAAAACTATGGAAGAGATGTTAGGAGTTTCTGCATTTTAATGAGTTCCATGGTGTATTGTGGTGCTGAGTCTATGAAGCTCAGGTACTGAGAGGAGAATGGTGCAACTGCTAGAGAAAGTAAAGTCAGAAGGAAAAGTTGAAGTGAGTTGGAGTATTAATGGGCCCCACTGAGGGCTGTTACTAACAAAGCCTGCCCAGGGACTCGTTAGGGTAGATAATTGGAGTCCATGATTACAGACAGTCAAAGCACTGCACTGAGAAAAGTGTTGGTTGGTTTTGGTGAAACAGAAGAGCCAAGGCCTGACCTCAGCCACTGGAAGGGGAGATCCTGCACCCCCACGTATGGCTCAAGGCTCTTCCTGGGGTCTGTGGGCTGTGGTGGGCAGTAGGATGCCATGAGAAGAACAGTGGTGTGACACCTCTAAGGTGCTGCACGGGGTTGAAAGGAATCTATT